CTACCTCTAAACTGAAAACTTGGAAAAGGGCTGGGAACAAGGAAGGTAGATTACAAAGAAAACAACAGGATGGGGATGACCATTCCCAAATGCACAGTCTCAAAAGAGGCAGGCAAGGAGGAACAGTTCTGAAAACTGTTGAGGAGGGGATTCAGGTAGAGGAATCAGAACACAAGAGATTGAAGAACTCTTCTGATAAGGTGGAGAAGGCCAGCCTCAAATGGCCCCAAGGTGAACAATGAGAGCTGTGGTGTGGAACTGTAGAGGCCTGGGTGGGGCCTGTACAGTTTCCCAACTCAAGGAGTCCTTAAGGACCCACCATCCACATTTTTTCTTTTTATCTGAAACCAAAAACACTAATAAATTCACTATGACAGTTTGCAAGAATTTGGGGTTTGCTGATCGGTGCAGGATGGTTGAGCCTAGGGGCTTAAGTGGAGGTCTGTTGCTGGCTTGGCATAGTGATGTGGAAACTAGGCAAATTGTGAGCTGCTCTTATAGTATTGAGGTTGAATTCAGGCTTCAGAGCAATGAAGCTTTCAGATGGGCCATCTTTGTATATCTCAGTACTGACAAAGGAACAAAGGAAAGCCAGTGGTGTGAATTAGAACAGAAGAAGTTAAACTGGGGTGATAGCTGGTGTATAATTGGAGACTGGAATGACCTGTCTAAGCCAGAAGACAAGAAGGGAGGCAGAATGAGAACCAAAGCAAGCTGCTTGGGATTTCAGACTTTCATCTCAAATATGGGTATGGCTGAAGTGTTCCATAAGGGTCATCCATTCACATGGGGGAATAACAGAAATGAAGAAGGTTTTGTGGAAGAAAGTCTGGATAAAGGCTTTGTCTCTCCTGAATGGCTCAGAACTTACCCTCAAACCCAAACCACATCTATATTCAAGAGCTCCTCAGATCACTACATGCTTCTTCTAGAAGCTGAACCAGATAAACCACAATACCAAAGAAGATTCCAATTTGATAGAAGGTGGATCAGCAGAGAGGGAATAGATGAGACAGTCAAGAAAGCCTGGGTAGACAATTGTGGAGGTACTCCACTCTATAGCCTAAAAGAGAAGATCAAAAAGACAAGAATTGCCTTGCTGCAATGGAGCAAATATTTCAGATCATCTCAGAAAGCACATCTGGCAACTCTATCTTTGAAATTGGAAGCTATGAGGGAGGAAGGAGGCCAAAGGAACTGGGAGGAGTGGGACAAACTTCAAAGAGTGATGGACAAAGCCAACACAACAGAAGAGCTCTTCTGGAAACAAAAGGCCAGAACTCAATGGTTGAAGGCAGGAGATCAAAATACCCACTTTTTCCATGCTTGGGTGATGCTGAGAAGGAAGAATAATGCTATTAACAGACTTGTCACTGATCATCTTAGTGTCTGTAACACCAAAGAGGAAATTGAAAGTCATGTGGAAGATTTCTACAGCACACTCTTTACCTCTGAGGGCTCCAATGGAGGGGCAGCTCTCCTTCATAATATACCACAATCCATCTCAGAAGAGGACAACAATAACCTAGTGGCTGAGGTAGAAGAGGCAGAAATCAAGTAGGCACTGTTCTCAATGGACCCTGGGAAGTCTCCAGGAACTGATGGAATGCCAGCACTTTTCTTTCAACATTTCTGGCCCTTGCTTAAATCAGACATCTGCAATGCTGTGGGCAGTTTCTTTCAGTCAGGTAAATTACTTCCTTACTGGAATCATACATTGATTGCTCTGGTACCCAAGTGTGCTAGCCCTGAAAACCTATACCAATTTCGGCCGATCAGTCTATGTGCAGTAGTTTATAAACTGATCTCCAAAATTCTAGCAAATAGACTAAGACATTGCATTCAAGACTGCATCAATGAAACCCAATCAGCTTTCCTTCCGGGCAGACTCTTAAGTGATAATGTCATAATAGCCAATGAGGGCCTTCATTTTCTCAATAGGCACAGAATAGGTAAGCATGCTTTTATGGCCTTAAAGCTTGATATGATGAAAGCCTTTGATAGGATTGAGTGGAACAGTATTAGACTTACTATGCTCAAGATGGGGTTTGATGTTCAGTTTGTGCATTGGATTATGGAATGTGTAACCACAGTTTCCTACTCTTTTATTATCAATGGTTGCACTAGTAGTTATATATCTGCTGAGAGAGGAGTCAGGCAGGGAGATCCACTGTCTCCCTACCTTTTCATTATTGTTTCAGAAGTGTTATCTGCAGTGATCAATGCTGAGAAGGAGAGAGGTTTATTCAGAGGTGTTTCTATGGCCAGAGATGCTCCTGTTCTCACTCACTTACTATTTGCAGATGATTCTTTGATCTTGTGTAAAGCTGACAATACCAAAGCCAAGTTCTCCAGTCAATTCTCCTCAAATATTAAAGGTTCACTGGTCAAAAAGTGAATGTGGCAAAGTCTTCAGTTTTTTTCAGCAAGAATACAAGCATGGCTGTTCAGAATGAAGTGTGCTCAGTCTTTCCTGGAATTCAAGTGCAGAAATCTTCTAGATACCTGGGGTTACCTTTAGGAATTGGGCAATCCAAGAGGGAAGTCTTTGGCTTTGTAACTGATGCAGTTAAGAATAGATTGTTAAGCTGGAAAAACAAGCATCTCACAGCAGCAGGCAAAGAAGTTCTCATTAAAGCAGTTCTCACTGCCCTTCCACTATTTGTTATGACTTGTTTCAGACTACCCTCAAGCATTTGCAAAGAAATTGCTAGCATGTTTGCAACATTCTGGTGGAGCAAAGGTCCAAAGGAATTCATTAGAAAAGATGGGAATTACTCACACTATCCAAACAGCAAGGAGGTCTTGGCTTCAGGGACATCAAACTTTTTAATGAGGCTTTACTGGTGAAGCAATTATGGAGAACACTTTCCCAACCAAACCTCCTCATGAGCAAGCTGTTGAAATGCAGGTACTTTCCCAACTCCTCTTTATTTGAAGCAGACTTGAAACAAAATTCCTCTTGGGTGTGGAGGTCTTTATGGAAAGTCAGAGGTCTTCTTGAGGAGGGGCTGCAGATTGACATCAGAAATGGAGCTTCTGTCCAACTCCATGACTTCAATTGGGTCCCTGGTATTAAAGGAAGGAGTCTACACCTCAAAGATCCTAATGCTCATGGGAAACTTTGGGTCAAAGATATCATCCTTAGGGACAATGGACAGTGGGATGAACCCAAGATGAGTGAGCTGATTGATGAACAGGACTGCAGAGAAATTCTCAAAATCCATACTGGTGATTCCCAAACTGATGATAAATGGAGCTGGAAGATGGGAGAGAAAGGCAGATTTTCAGTAGCATCATCCTACAAATTTCTTCACCATAAGAAACTGCTTTCTCTTGACTTACCTGAGGGAAGTAGTACCTCCAGAAGGAACCAAGGAATCAGACAGAGAACCTGGAACTTACATGTCAAAGGCAAACTGAAACACTTCTTGTGGAGATGCATCAATGACATTCTGCCAGTCAATACTAATCTGAGAAATAAAGGAATGGAAGTGGATATCATTTGCAGCAGTTGTGGTGAAGCAGCAGAAACAGTGGAACATGTACTGATTGAATGCACAAGAGCTAAGGAAGTTTGGAAGCACTCACAGGTCTCTTGGCCAGGAATTCAGATGCAGGGCTGCAAATTCAAAGACTGGTGGGGACTTATTTGCTCTATCAGACACACTGCAGTGGATGAAGGAAGAACAGAGCTCACCACATATATATTGTGGTGGCTATGGAAATCGCGCAATCTTTGGGTATTTGAAAAGCTTTGGAGACCGGACAGATGCATTCTATCTGGAGCTTGGGAAGAATGGCAAGAAACAGTTAAGCATATCACCAATCGAGCTCATCAGAGACAAGGAAGACAAGTTAGGTCTACTTAGTTAGTTCAGTGACTAGTCTTTTCTTTTCTCTTTATTATGGTGTTGTGTTATATCTGTTTTCTTTGATTTTATGGCACTGGGGGGCTCAGTTGATGTATTACTGCCTTTGGTGTTATAGTTGGTAGTTTTTTCTTGTATTTAGCCTACTAGCATTAGTAGTGTTCTCTGGTTATTCCTTCGGCATTAGGGTGTTGCTCTATTTGTACTCGAACATTTATTTTGTTATATGAGTTTTTCCTATCGTCTTGAAAAAAAAAAACGAACCGAAATATAAAAATTTGAATCGAAAACTCTAATTTGGTCGGTTTTGCTTTCGCTATCTATTGCGCAATCTGCTAGTCGCGATAAAGTGCAGCATCTTATTTTATAAAGTACAACGTGTTGTTTTATAAAGTGCAACGTATTGATATATAAAGTGCACTGACGAAATTTTGGTATGTTAGCATGCTTGTGTTTTTTTTTTCTTTTTTTTGTAGACAAATGATATGATGGATGCTAAAATATATGTATCTCCATTTTTTTTTATTTATGTTATGTGGTATTCTGGTGGGAGTTATTGTCCCATTTTATTAGATTTATGTTACGTGATATTTAAGAGGAAGCTATTGACATTAATTGTGAAGTGTGATGATAAAGTGCACTGTGTTGTTTTATAAAAGCAACGTAATGTATTATAAAGTTCAACGGGATAGTCGGAATGTTGCGTGTTATGCATGCTTGTTTTGTAGTGGCAATGCCAAAGTCATTAATGTGCAATTCGTCGACTAATATTGTGCACTTACAACATAAACAATTTGAATGATTTGTAGCAAACTAAACTAACATCGTACTGAAATGATCGGTTTTTCTGGATCGGTTAATCAGATTACATTAAATAATCAAAATGATTTACTATTTATATTATAAAATACATTTAGTATTTTAATATTTATTTTCAATATATTTTATAATATTTATGGTTGAAATATAATATAAAATATCAAAATCTATTGATTGTAAATATAATAATATTTTATAATGTGTATTTCTACACCCTATGTGAATTTATTATAATATTATATATAATTTTTTTCATTTGATACTTAACATGTTTGGTATTTCTATTGTGCATTTCTAAATGCATTTACATTAACACTTTTGAAGTGCTAGTGCCCTTAAAAAAAAAATAATAATAAGATGCGACTTTACAAACTGATTTTCAAGCAAAAAAAGAAAAAACAAAAAAAAAATTGAATAAATAAATAATCAAAAGCTGCTAGTTCCATGCCATGTACATATTTCTATCGTGATTCGTGTGATCCATCATTTATTATTCATTATCTTTTGTTAAATTGCACATTTACCCACAGGATTTAAAGTGTAATATACAAAACTAATAAAATTACATAGAGGCCCTTATTGTCTATCTAATTCTCACAAAAAAAGCCCCACAGCAGCACTGTTAACAGCTTAGCCTTTTCACAAGTCGTTATCTCCATCTACGTCTTCCATGCCCGTCAACAATGCGGCGTCGCCGCTGCCGCACGGGGAGAAGATGAAGGTGGCGGCATCGGACGCGGCGGCAACCTGCCTCAGCCCTACTTCGTTGATGGACGCACGCCATGAATGACATGAGCTAGGTGGCCATGAATGCTTCTCAGTACCGCGACGACGGCCTTGACGGGTCGTGTCATGACGGTCGTGGTGTTGATTACGGTTGTCGCGATGGTGGTGGTTATGTCTGGGCAGCGACGACCTTGGAAAAATTGGAGCTGCGACGGTGGTGGTTATGTCGTGACGGCTGAGGAACGGCGGCAGCATCTAAAAATTTTTTCCGCCTGATGGTGTGTGTGGTTGTGTGTCCGTTCGTGTGTGTGTGTGTGGTGTGTGCGATGAGGGCGGCGACGACGAACGGCGGGTGGCAGGCGGCGGACGGTGGCGACGAACGGCGGTTGGCGAGTGGTGGCGGTGTGTTGCCAACGTGATCCGTGCGAC